GGGGAGCCCCCCCCAGCCTCCCCTCCCCCATCCCCCCAGCTAGTCCTGCTTAGGCCATATTCTGACTGCCACTACCCCTAGACATGAGGACAGGGAGAAAGGGATCAAGCATCTGGCCCTGGCATTTGGGCCCTGCGGGGGCTCACAGAGGAGAGTGATCCTTATGGATCCAAGGTAAAAAGAATGGAGAGAAAGATTAGGGTCAGTGGGCGCTGACTCAAGAGTGACATTCAGGGTCCAAACAACTTACTTGGGCAGATGAGGGCCTCCTTGGCTGTGATGCTCTTGTTACAGGCATAGCACATGGTCATGCCCGAAACGGAGATGGTGGTGAAGAGGTGCCCGTTGGTATAGCGGGCGTCCTTGGCTTCCTTCATTTTCTCTTTTTCCCGGGTCTGTAGAAGGGGCGAGAGAGACAGGAAGTGAGGCTGGAGGACGCCAGGATGCCTGAGGAGTCCAGAGACACAGGCCGAGGGCAGAGGCAAGGGAGCAATGCCTGCCTGAAACACACCACTTCCTGAAGCAGAGCCTGCCGCGCTGTGTCAGAGGCAGCTGTCCAGGAGTGACCAGGCCAGCCCCGAGGGCCGAGCCCGCCCCTGACCTACCTGGCCCCTGCGGCTGGGCTGCCTCCTGTTGCCGCTCATCTCCCCAGCTCTAGACCTCGGCGTCCTCACTCCACCTCCCAGCCCTAGCTCTGCTCGCCCCCGAGCTGCTGTACTCTCTTCTCTGTGCCGGGGGAAGATGCGCAGAGAGGAGGGGAGAGCAGGCGAAGCAGAAGGTGCCAGCTCACCAGCGCTTTCAAATCTATGGGAGTTAGCTCCTCTTATAACCATGACAACCAGTGTTGGAGCCGCTATCTCCGCTATCTCCGCTATCTCCGTGGCAGTGGCAGTCACAGTGGGGGGCAGGAGACCCCCTTATTAGATTGGCTGAAGGGGGCAGAATGCCTCCACTGCCACCCCCAACCAGAGGTCAGGATCCCAAACTTCTGACTCTTCCATATCTGCTCAGCCAAGGTACACGGGGCCTCTCTGTGGGAGGCAGCATGTCCCCTGCTAACCTCGAGGCAGGAGGAGCCTGGTTTCAGTCTCGGGTCACTTGTCCTCTCTGGGATCTTTAAGAAAGGAAACTGGGCCACCAAAGTCTCATTCCTGGCAAGAAGTTTCTTCTGCAGTCTAACTTTTATCTCTCTCATGCTACCCTCCAAAACCTAGGATATCTCCCTTATTCCTCCTCACCCAATTAGTCTAGGAAGTCCTTTCTAGCATCTACCCTCCATCCTCCAGCGGCAATGTCACTTCCTCCTGCTCTGGCCTCCGTCGAGATGCGGCACACCCTCTGGGCGCTTCCACAGAACCTCAGAGGCTGGCATTTCCCATCAGCTTTCTCTTCTTCTGCTTCCCCCTGACCTCTGCAGGTCAAGTGATTCTCCCTGACCTCTTTCTGTCCTTTCTCAAGCTCTTGAGCATTCCCTGAAACTGAGGAGATGAGAAGATGGGACACCATGCTTTCCACCTATTCCAGGACCCTCCTCAGTGGTCACCTCAGATCCCTGATTTTCCCTCCACTCTTAGAGGACTGACAGCAGGAAGAGGACCTGGCAAGACCACTCCCTCCAAGGATTCCCTGCCTCTCAGAAAGCGAAGAGCGAGATCCTGATGGCTGAGGCTGAGGGTAATGAGCCCCAAGTCAGAGAACACTGTCTGGGGCCCCAGGGCAGTGAAACAAAACTCAGAGGAGAATCCTCAGCCTGGACCTTGGGGGCCTAGTCCTGACTCTCAGCTGAAGCCACACTAGCAGTTAAGAGGTGGGGGAGGGGGCCTTCCCTGGTGGCGCAGTGGTTGAGAATCCGCCTGCCGATGCAGGGGAAGCGGGTTCGTGCCCCGGTCCGGGAAGATCC